ACAATGGTAGATCTTATACTCGTGCGTACTAGAGGTCTAGCTCAACACATAGAAGTTGTAACCTCTACACAATCGCTGCGGGTTTTTATCTTTGGTCATTCATCTAACTTTCCCAAAATTTGATCAACTGAGCTACCCGTGCAGGTCTATCAAACCTTTTTAATTCTCGTGCCAGCATGAGTGTTGCAGTTAAATCCGAACGAAAGAAGTACTCTCTCCATCTCTTAAAACTTTGCCACTTTCTTCTTTTTGTTGTCCCATTAACTTAGTCACTTTTCCTATTAAAGGAGTGTTTGGGATTGCTTTAAAAAAGCGCTTTTTGACTTTTGGCTTAAAAAAGTTGAAAAAAGTGTTTTCAAGTGACAGCTTCTGCTTAAATTAATCACTTAAAAGCTAAAAGCTGGAAGCAGGTAGAATGGTGCTTTAAACTGCTTCTCACTTTTTCTATTACACAAAAAGTACTTATTTTACCAAACACTACCAACTTTTACTTTTTCAGAATCACTTTTTTCTCAAACACTACCAACTTTTACTATTAATCACTTTTCCCAAAATCACTTTAAAAAATCACTTTTTTAAAGTTGAAGCAATTGTAAACACTCCCTAAGTAAAGAATCTGTGGTTCCAGTTAATTCTTGCTCCTCTGCACAAATTTCAACCATACAATTTTTACTTTATTAATCAATGTGCCGGTCTAACTTGATAAAATTTTAAGGGACAAAGGGGATATATATGAAGTATTTTAGATTAAAAAAAATCTTGACGTTCAATTAACTTGCTATTCGATCTTTTACCTCATTTATAAGATACAATTTCCTTTTTTGATTGCCCCAAAATTATGAGCACTTTCCTAAAGTGAACTCCACTAAATTTTTACTTCTCCATTTTATGTAGTACTCCCTCCGGTTCATAATCTCCTTTACACTTTCCTTTTTTGTCAGTACCAAATTCATCTTTACACTTCATATTTTACCCATGAAATCCCATAAATATCCCTCCCTCATAATACTCCCTCTGACCGCCCACCCACCCAACGCATTAATCTCCTTCATACTCCGTATTTACCAACCCACCCACCCAACGCATTAAACCCCCACCGCCCCTCTTTATTCGGTTTGTCTGTAATCCCTCTGACCTTCTTTCTTCTCTCATCCTCACACCCCATATCTCCTCCTTTTCACCGCACCCCTCGTCCTCACATAGTTGCCCCCTTCTGATCTGTGTTCCTCTCCGGTTTAATGGATGCTAAAGCCACCTCTACTCAATTGGGAGATGCAATGGAGGTGAAGTCGCCACTTGAGTACTCCGACCGCCGCCAATCTGAACCACATCTTTCAGATCCGAAAAGTGTGAAGTCCATTCGAATTTCGGATCTGAAAAAAGGCAAGTTCCCCACGATACACCCTTAATGTTTGAGTTTTTACTCCTTCTTCTTTAAAAAACATTAATCTTCCACATGCAATGTGTTTTGCAGCCTTGGGTAAACCCAGTAATCGTTCGGTTCGGTGATTGTTCCACTGAAACAGATCCTTATTGGCGGTTGAGGAAAAGGCACGGCTCCAACCTGGTCAGTGACACGTTCGAAGGGATGGATGGCTTGGAGGACTCAGGGGATGAGGCAACCTCCAGATATTTTGAGGGTGAGGAGCCATATGGGGTTGGTGATTCCGCTGACGAACTGTTTGCAGACACTCCTCCTTATACTCCAAAGGGTTAATTATACGGGCAATATTCTCTGTCTCTGTACTATCTTTATGTTTTTGAGTAATTGTATGTTTGTTGCATAAGGTGTATGATGTGAAAACTAAGGATGAATTGGGGGTACTGGTTATGAAATTGTTGCTTTTGAAATATGATGACTCAATCTATTTTGTTTGATTGAGGCTGAAAACATGTGTTGCCTAGTGCTTATGTGCTATTCTGTATGCCCAAACTGTTTCTGTGCATTGTAAATGTGTGTGCCTCAAATGTGATGAAATACTTGTGCAATCCACTTATGAATGTGTAGGAGGCCTTGTTTGTAAATCATGTTTGGCATTGATTGACTTGCTTACAATAATTAGTGTACAACAATGATCTAGGAAGTACATAAAAAAAAGGTACTTTCAACATTGTGAAGTACATACAAAAAATGTACACCTACTTGCTTAATCATCCCTGTGTACATACAAAAAGTTGCAAAAAAACATGTCCTGTCTTTTTTAGATAGGCAGTTCAGAGATGAAGATCTTGATAATCTTCATCCATGAACTCTGTCCCTGTCACAACACTGCTTGTAAGTACTGTGTTTGTTGCCATCTGCTCCTCCATGCGTGCTTTAGCTGTGATATAGACTTCCTCATCAATCTGGACATTCTTGGGCAAAAGACCTTGCCTTTCCAATCTGTCCTTCCCAACATGTTTAAGTTTGTAGTTGTTTCCCCCATTGTGCTTCAAAATTTCCTCCATTACATATTGAAAGCTTAAGAAAACTTTGTTTAGGGTGTGAGCTGTGAGATCATTGAATGCACTTTGGACTACTTCTATCAAGTCATTGATATTCTTTGGTGCATTCTGATCTTTCAGAGAATCAATTGCCCTAAAAAACCTAAATCCAACACATTCAAATCTGGGCTATTGGGTGGTTGGCAGCGCAACTCTATGTTCCAACCATCTTCTGTCCCATATTTAACAAACTCTGGATCAGTAATAAGTAAATGAGGCCTAGCATTGTCTTGTTGTATAATGACATGTTTGTTTTCTGCATCTGGCCACTTTTCTTTAATTGCAGGCAGAATATGTGTTAAGATCATGTCTTTTATAACTTCTCTAGTCACCCTCATTGTTGCCTTTGTCTCTAAGGTCCCAGTTGGCCTATTCTTGCTTGCTCTCTTTGCTTTGTCTTCAAAAGTAAAAGGAAATATCCCTATTTTACCATCCCATAATACCTCTCCCTGATGGCCTATTCTAGGCCTTCCTACTGCAGCAATAAACATCACTTTTGGTATGAATTTTTTGGATCGAGCTGTTCTGTAAGGGTCCTCTTCTGTTGGAAAAGTATAAAATGTGGTGGTTTCTTTTGATAAGTAGAACCACTTCTCATCTATGTGTACATGATCATAAAAATCATGAAAAGTTGGGGAAAAGGGAAGTGAGCTCGGAATAATATGGCTTAGGCAGAACTCTAACCTTTTCATCATACCCTCAGCTGTGAGAAGAGGTTTAATGGCATTAGAATGTCTCTTGATCTGTTTGCTCTTGAACCATCTCTGCACAGTTGACTTTGATACTTGCATTGCAAATGCCAAAGACCTCATATTTTTCCTTTTATGAAATGGAATTTCAGCCATTTTTGACAAATCTAATGCAATTTTTTTGGGTCCTACACTACCTGCGTATTTGGTCTGCACATTTATGGCTTGCCCAGCCTGCAGTTGTGCCTTTGCTATGCCCCACAGTGTGTGTACAGTTTGTCTTGAGGTGTTGAACTCATTTGCAACTGTTGTGATCATGCCCCTCTGAAGTTTTCCATCTATCAACTTTACCAACAGCATGTCTATTATGCTTCTTCGCTTTTCATTTGAAAGCTTTAAGTCTTTTGGCAACCTCTGTGCATTCTGATCTGTGTCACTTTCATCTGCAGGTACGTGGGGAACTCCGAGCTCCATGTCATCTTGCTCAGCTTCGGTGTGTGGCGCAAAGGGGGGCAAATCTGCTAAAGGACTTGCAGCAGAGGCAGATTCGGGAGCCATATCAGGAAGCTCAGAGACAGAAGAGGAAAACTGAGATATCCCAGATTCCATTTTTTGTTGGGGAGTAAAGCATGTGTACTTGGGGGAGTAAATGAGTGGTATATATAGGGTAGAAGTAATTTTGGGTGGGAAAGGTTTCTATTTTTAGATTTTGGAGGGAATCTGAATAATTTTGGGTGGGAAAGGAATCTGAATATTTTTAGCTTTAAGAGGGGTACAAATTACCCTCTCTCTCCTCTTGTATGTTATGAGAATGCTTTAACTTCATATTACCCCTTTATTTAGTACTTTTACCCTCTTTTCTTTTAACTTTACCTTTACTTTTTATATCAAGGGTATAAATGGGAAGTCAAGTACAAAAATTAGGCCACCTTAAATGTAGAAAAGTCAAAGCGTAAAGAACATTATGAACCGGAGGGAGTACTTTTTATCTATCATTTCACATCTTACCATTTTTTACTTTTTTGAGGTTAGAATCGTAAAGTAACAATTTTATCTTTTACTTTGTTAAAACTCACGTCGAATCGACATGTATCTTACTACTTATATCATAGGAAGCTGGTAGTATTATTATTTGGCATTAAGAGTTAAGACTACGTAAGCAATGAATTAATCACTGCAAATCTGAATCTGCAAACCTACTTCTGGATATGCTATGGTTCTTAGAGATGAAAAAGAACCAAAATAAGATACGTACAATTTATGCTTATGCTAATCACCCCTCGAGAAAATTAAAAAGAACAAAAATGAATTGCACCCGTGCATTATAGGAGAGTTTTAGTACACCGGATGATTGCACAGGGGCGGACCCAGAAAATTTATCTTGGGGGTTCAATTTTTTTTTTGGGGGGATAGGAGGGGGGCGAAAGTTATATTTTGAGGAACAAAAATAACTTTTTGTATATATATACACTTAATTTTTGTTGTTGTTGGGGGAGGCGATAGTCCCCTTGGGTCTTTAAATTACTAGGGTCTGCGTTTGAGCGTGCATGGTCCATCCATGCTCAACCCAAAAGGAACCCAAGGAAAAGGCAGGCACCACGGGGGCATATGTGTCATACACGGGCTGAATCAGACTGAACCCGAATAATTGTTATTTAACCGAGCTTCAAACCAAAACCAAGCTGAACCAATCCAGAATCGGACTGCACCCAAATCAGAACACGTCGGTTTTATCTTGATTGTATTCTTTCGGTCTTTCCAATCGGAACTGGGATCGGATCGAAACTTTAAACCAAAATGTCCATCACTACTAAATAGCGTGTTATTCTTATCTAGAGTGACACAACCAATTACATATCATGTTTCGTGCTAAATGTACAAACCAGACTAATTTAAGTTTGATAACTTTGATCGTGTGAATTGATTAATGCTAATATTTTAGAGAACATACCTAAGATCTATACTGAAAAATCAAACGATTCTTACCAGAATTTACGATAAAATGGACTGGTAGGAATCAGAGACATTGAAATTTATTCAGAGTACTAATTAGCTTCTTTCATTCTATTTACCCCCAGGGTACCAAAATGCAGTAATACAACTATAAAAAAGGAGATGCTATATTGTGGTATATGAGAATATGAGGATCTAAGCTAGAAGTGAGTTCATGAAGACTCTACTTCAATGCCACCCTTTACTTTCCTCTCTTCACGGCAGGGGCCATAAGCACGGCTACAAAAGATGAATAGCAAAAGATTCAGCAGACTCAATCCAGCAAGTACCCAATTATAGTAGTCATAGTGACCCTGATTTATGTTGCTCGATATCCAGCTCCCACCTTCCCCACCTTTAGTGACCTCATTGACAAAGCTCATCAAAAAGCTTGCTAGCATATTCGCTGCCGCTACCCCGAGCCCAAAAAAGTTGGAAGCTATGCTCCACATGCTTTGCGGGAACTCTGAAATGTAAAACTCATTCTGAGCAACAGCGTTCATTCCCTCTGCAACCCCCGCGAGAAGCGAGCGTGGTATGATCCACAGAACAGACATATCCACAATGCCCCCGGGGTTTTCAGAGAATCCCTCCTTTATTGCGAGGTTCCGCCGGTAAGCCTCCACCAAGGCCGTTACCACGACAGAAAGGAAAGAGACGAAGATCCCCGACCCCATTCTCGCCATCGGGCTGAAATGGAGACGACGTCTAATGATTCGATCATCAAACACGAGCCACATTATGATGGAGGTGTATGAGAACATACTTATAGAGCCAGTGGGGATTTGAAAGCTCATAGATGATGATCCAATGTGGCGGTTCATGGTGGTTGCTTGAAGCGTGGAGAAAGTGCTTTGGCTGGCATTAATGCTCATTATAACTCCGGTGACCCATATTGGGATTACCTTAATGCATGCTTTAAGCTCCTCTACTTGCTCTACTGTACAAAGACTCCATGGATCTGAGGCTTTCCCATCTGAGTTTACGTCTTGTTGGGGATCTTCTATAATGCAAGCCTTATTCAGAAACCTGAAACAATTAGTCCATTAATGCGCGTTTTTAGATGTGGAGTGACTAAAATCAGCAGGAGAGGGCACACTGTTTTGTTTAATGGGACCCACAAGGCCAACTCAAATTAATCAATATTAAGCTTGAACTTAAAGAGAGCACACTAAGACTAAACAAACCGGGGCAGTTCAGTCTCTATCAGAAAAATTCAGTCCAAACGAAAATCTTCTAACTTAATTTGTTCATAACCACATGACCTATATTTTCTTATGAGCACAATCTTATTCAGTTATATGACTACAACTCTTGAACTTTTACTAAGAATTAAAAAACAAGGGCATGCCTTATTTGATTGCCTTATATGAAAACGCTTACACTATGTTGAAAATATTTATTGTATTACAAGGATTTTTTATATTAGAACACATAAGTCTTATTTTAGAAAGAAAATATATTTACTCTTATGTTAGAACTTCATCAATGTTTTGCTCCTATTTTGAGCAATTTATTAAAATTCTAAATATCCATACAGAAACCTTAGTTGTTCAAATAATCGCTCCACAGCGGGGCAAAAAATGACTGCAATTACCTTAGTGTTTCACTTGGGGGGCATATCACGGTGCCTTGTTGATGGTATGCCACAAGACCTCCACCATTGGGTGGAATCACAAGGCTCCTCTTTCTGTAAAAAGCAACAACCACTTGAACTAACCCCATGATTAAACTTCCTTTGGGTTTTGACCTGACATAGAATGGGGACCCCAAGAGGATGAGAATAGTAGCAAATAGCATAAGCAAGACAAGGATTCCAAAACCAATTTCCCATCCCATGTTCTCTTGGACATAGACCAAAAGGGTCAAGGAAATGATAACAGATACCATTTTAACACCATAATAACAGCCAAAGAAGCTCTCCATTGCTTTCTCATTTTTTCGGATATTATTTAACTGTTCAACTCCAAACGCCAAGGAAGAAGCTTTTACTCCCCCTTCACCAATGGATATAAGGATAAAGGAGAGGTATAAAAAAAGAAGTTGCAGAGTTGTTGCAGAAGGGCAAATGATGTTAGATTCAGTGCAAGGAGGCGGCCTTGTTTGTGGTATAATAGTTGTTAGCCAAAACAGAAGTATTCCCTGCCATAAACAACATGACTTTCAATTTAAAAAATCCCACTTCTTCTCCATACACTTTTCACTGAAGGAATATAATCACAATCACTACCTCCCTCTCTTACAAAGACGTTTTAAAGTTATTTTTACATATATCAAGAAGTAACATTGAAGGATAGTTTTAGCAAATGTTTTACCTGCTAATACAACTCGAATATACGACCAAAAAATCTTACGTGTCTACTCCGGAATTCCACATATGCAGCCTTGTAATTCCTTCGTGCATAGTTTTTTTTTTTTTTTTCTGAGGTCTCACGCCTCTGATTACGTGTACAAACTACTTGGCTGCATATGTGGAATTCCAGGAAAGACATGAAGGACTTTTTTAATTTTTGAGGAATGTTAAGTGACCACCGGATAAACATTTAAAAGTAGTCGTTTTACTGATTTGATTCATCAAAGAAATAAGGGACCAAAATGCTTGAATACTAGTTAAAGTTCTATTTGTGCGTTTTCCCTGATGGAATTTGAAAACCTAAGAAAATAGTTTGTGAAAGCTTAACTAATAATGTATGTCTAATGTGTGCACCTTTTGTAGAGATATAACAGTAATACGAGTTACTGTAAGAACTAGTGTAATAAACTAAGCAAATTACATTTAATTAGAACCGGACCTTTTATGACATGTAGCCCAATTGAGCCATGTTTCATATATACACAAATATTGTGTCAAACCACTCGAAACTGTGGAGTCCTGTCTATCAGCTAGTTCAATCAATAGTCGAATCAATTCATCATTTTATTTTACTTGTCTGATGTAAGACTAACAAATGTTGAGAGCAATGCCATTATACCAAAATGAATTAAGAAAGGGCATACAAGGAAATGAACAATTAATGGCAAGCTTAATACGGAGTAGTTAATAGAGTAAGTGCACTACCTGTGTAGATGGAGAACAACGAGTTCTAATGAGTTTCCTTCAATGACCAAGTACTAACCAACTATCAGGGGTTGTCCAATGTTCATAAAGAAATACTCTTGTCTCTTACAACTTTGTCAAGTTTGACCGACATGTATAATAATAAAGTAAAAAGTGTTTGGTTGAGATTTGTGTACAAGAAAAAGTAATATGGAGTAATAGGAATCACAAATTAGTTGAGGAAAAAATCAATTTAAAAAAGGAAGTGACAAAATTACAAGGATAGATAGAGTAGTTAGTATTCCATGTTTCATAGTAGTATATCTCTTGTGTGTGTAAAATGAGGTAGTGAATTGAGACAAAGGCCAAAATTATCCTAGAAAAGACTAAAAAGTATGTCAAACAAGCTATAAATGAACACAAGAAATACTAAAAAAAAAAGAACACAAGAAATATTCCGTATAAGGTTCTTGTCAGACATTAATGAAACTAGCAAGAATGTGTAAGAGCATATCATACAGAACAGTTTCACCATTTCAAGAGGTGAAGAGCTTACCAAAAGGTTAATAACAGATCCGATGCTAATAATCTGAAACCGACCCACAAAAGAATCTGCCATTAAAGCTCCAACGACGGGTGTGATATTCGAAGCTGCATTCCACCAATAAAGCACATTCGATCCAGTAGCCATATCCATTCGATACTCCCTCATCAGATACAATATCATGTTGGGAGTCAACCCGCAATTTGCCAATAACATCAATGCCAAATTTCCTGTCCATTATCCACAGTAAGGTTAACGACAACCCTCCCTCAATAAATCAAATTGTTAGGCAAGTTATATTCACAATCCAATCCACAATACATCTTTATATTAACTACGTAGTAGTTCATATACCGTACCACAAGTTATAAAATCTACGAATTTTTGTAATTTAGGTGAAACACCCAGTTTTTGTAAATTGAGTATCGGACATATTTTGTTGAGTATTTCAGTTTAATATTGAGTATCGTGACATCTATTTCATATCTTTTGATTTTTTTTTTACTCAAGGGGGGTCTGGGGGGGAGTTTGGAGTAATCAGGGCTGAAACTCACTCCATTAAGTTTCACACCCTTGTGTTTCATATCTTCTGATTTACTTTCTTTTTCTTATGTTTTCCTTTTCTAAAAATTTCTTAAATTAAATCTGTAATGAACCCCTATAAATTCTAATATGCGAATACAATTTAATATTATACTTTTGATATGCATTCATATGAAAATTATAAACTTTGCTAATTGGGCATAAAAACATATTCATTGAACATAAAGTTTCCTCTGTTAAGCATGAAACTCTGAAATTGAGTGTACAAAATTTGAAACCTTATTGAGTATCAAAACATTTTCATTATGTATCTCTTTCTCTACTATTATGTGGATTGAGCATTGAAATTGTCAAATTGAGTATACAAAATTTCAAACTTCATTTAGGCATCAAAATAATTTTGGCATGAAATCAGGGGCGGACTCATGAAATCCATCTTGGGAGGGTGATAATTTAAACAATTTTTTTTGGGGGGCGGATATTATTTTTTGAGGGGGACATAAATTATTTTTCGTATATATATACACTAAGTTGGGGGTAGCCCCCCTAGGTTTGCATTAGGGTCCTCGCCTGCATGAAACTCTTCATTGAACATTTTGTTCTTGACTTTTGATTATCAAGGCTATGTGTGAGCTGAGGAAGCCGTCCAGTTCAGCAGGTCGCTGACTCAATCTCCCGTACGGAATGTCTCGGGTTCAAAACTTCATGGAAGGCGGTACAACCGTGTTTACTCCAAGCTCCCTCCAACCCTCTCCCCCCTGGCCCCCGTGGTAAAAAAATTCGAGGTTATGTGTATTTAGCGCTAAAACTCCGCAATTGAATATAAAATTCAAAAGCTCACATCTCCACTGAACATCGTGTTTTCTACTATTGAGCACTGAGGTTATGTAAGCATGCTCCAATCTGATCGCGTGAGTTTCGTCGGCTTGTTATGCCATTTTAAAATGAGCATAACACCCGTACCTAATCTTCTAAAAGGTATTAGGCACTAGTCAGGCATTTGCCCAGCGCCTAGTGCCTAGGCGGCTAGGCGGGCGGCTAGGCGGGAGTAGTCGGAGACACATAAATTGTATTTTTATCATTTTTTTTGCATAAATATGGTAAGTAATACATCACAAAACGGTAGTATCGTGCTTGTGTGTATGAAAAGTACACACACATTAACATGCATGAATTAAATATATGATAATTAATCCCTTAACTACATTAAGTTGTAAATATTAAGTAATAATAGAATTTAAGTATATATACAAACATATATTGTTTTTAATTTTTTACCTTAATTTACAAGTATTTTTCTTCATATTCGTGATTAAAGTTAAATGTACATATATCTTTTACAAAAAAAGAAAAAGTAAAACAAAAAATGTTTGACCAATCTAGACACCCTAGGTGGTGATTAGGCGCTCAGGGCGGTCAACTAATTCATCCAGGAGCCAAACCAATTAATCGGGGTGCCTAGACAAAAATCGAGGCGCATGACCACTGCCTAGCGCCTAGGTGGGGAATATTCGTGCGCCTAGAGCGATTTTTAGAAAAGTGCCCATACCGAATTAGTATACATAATTTACAAAATGAGAACAAAAAAATTCAAAGCTAATTTTAAATCTCTAATGTGCTCAAATATTCATTTGTGTATGCTCATTTCTTTTAAGCGTTGTAACTGTTCCGAAGTACCATAAAGCTCATTTAATTTCTATATTATGCACACAGATTCATTATTATTTACAATTTAATAGACTATTACTTAGGGATGGCAATGGGGCGGTTCGGGGACGGTTTTACATATAACCGTACCCGCCCCATTTGATAATTCCCCGCCCCATAACCGCCCCATTACCCAACGAGTAATTTTTACCCAAACCGTATCCGCCCCAACGGGTAACGGGTATAACCGCGGGTAACCGCGGGTAATCGCTTTATTAAATGAGTCATTGATATTTTAATATAAAAAAAATATTTTAAAAGGCGAAAAAATGGCATCACCTAGATAACTCTAGAATGAGACGCCCCTTTAAAGTTTCGTATATCTACAAGACGAGAAAGAAGACAACATAAATTAATTTGAACCTAAAAAACTTAATCTGAAAAAATAATTATTCACTAAAAATCTGATAATAATCAAACAAGATTGTTAAGATCTATTATGAACTCTCATGGAAACATTATAGTTAGTACATCTATTATCCATATACTCAATGAAAATAGAAAAATCTCATCTTCTATTACTCATGGGACAAATAATAGATAAAAATGTAATAAAAATATAACTAAAATAAATGGGGCGAGTACGGGGCGGGTAATGGGGCGGGTATGTATAAAACCGTAACCGCCCCGTTACCCGTAAAAACAAAACGGGTATTTCCCGCCCCATACCCGTTACCCAGTCAATGCGATTTTTCACGTTTTGACCGGGGCGGTTCGGTGCGGGTATCCATTGGATCGGTCACAATTGCCATCTCTACTATTACTACCTCCATCCCACTATGTTTGGGACAAAAGAGTGTGACACAACTTTTAAGAAAAAATGGAATTGTGTGATTGATACTGAATTGATAATGTGAATAAAGTATAGAATGAATTCTAACCACCAAAATATTCCTAAATATGATATGTGACAATCTTAATGGGAAAAACAATTTTGTTGATTCTTGATCAAATTCCATGAGGATTTTTGTAGATATGAAATTAAATCAAATGCATTGCATTTGAGAAATCTGTACTCAACTCGTCGTTTTCAAATTTCAACCATGCTCACTTAAAACCGTTTATTATAAAACATGGTTTAGACCTGAATGCTAAATACCAAGTAGCTGTCGCAGTTGCATCTTTGAGATCACCAGTGTGACAGTGCCCATCGGGAACGTAAAAACACTTCTATTTGAGAGACGGTTGGTAGTTATGTTGTGTGCAGGGGCGTAGCTAGAGGGGAACATAGGCCCCGATCTTTCCCAAATTTAAAACGTACTTATATTTTCAGTGTAAAAAATTAAATGTAATTTTTTCAAAAATATTCTTTGTACCGATCTAGTGCTCTGGTTCCGTCCCTGATTATGGGGAATGGGGAATTCGTTTTAAAGAGAAAATGATTTGTAGGGCTTGGTTTCATCCAAAAATTATATGTACTTCTATATATGTTAAAAGGTCAAATAGGTTCATCTACTAGTCAAGAATGCTCAATTTAACCCCGGAACTAAAAAATAACTCCAATTGCACCCTGAACTCGATAAAAACATTCAAATTTCATTTAACTAAGAATATTTTACTTGGATTGAAATTTGCTGGTCTGATTTGGTTAAGTTTGGTATGGTCTAATCTAAACTGGTCTGGTCTGGTCTACTAAATGTCTAGTCTTTGTATATTTTATAATTTTGGAGTTCTGGTTTGATCTAATCTAATTTGTTTAAGTCTTATCTGATTTGATCTGCAATTGAAAACATTTTAACTAAAAACACTCTAATGCAATCAGAATTTTTGAATTTACAATAATAGACTTTCGTTCATAAATTCAATTCTATAAGAAGAGAGGCAATTAAAACTGTACTATTTATGTTACCTCAGTGTGAGATAGCATAACAGGCATTTTTACCAAATAACTAATGAACCGCTTGGGATTATTGTTGGAGAAGAAGAAATAGAGGCTAAGATTTGATCGACGATGATGGAGAAGAATTATATTGTCTGCAGCAATATGAATTACCAGCAATGAAGGGCATGGTTCTGAAGCCACCTTGTGGGGCGGGAGAAGCTTCCAGGAGAGGCTGCAGTTTCTCTTCTTCTTCCACCATTGTTTTCTTCTGCTTTTCGTCTGATGAACAAACTCCCATCAGTCCCATACCACAGAAGTTTAAGAGTTATTCCTTTCTGGAAATATGCACCGACTTCAACAAGCTCAGGAGAAAGAGTCGGGAAAGTGGAAAGGAATAGCACATTGTACGTACTATTGTAGCGTGTCAGCATGCACCTAAGACATCACCTAAAACATTAACTAAAATAGTCATTTACAGTAACTTCAATCGATACAAGCAGAAAAGTAACTCCAACATTACTTTTTCTGCTTATAACACAATTTAGCGCGTGAAAACAAAAGTTATGTGTTTGGTGAAAAAGTTGGCCGATAAGCCTGGTAAGCCGAAAAACAGTGTTGCCAAACGGCCTCTATATTTTTTAGCGTATCAAACTTATCAATCAATTTTTTAATTAAATACGTACCTTTTTAATTCACGCGCTGGATTTTGTAATAATGAAAAAAATTTAGGTTGAGGCTGCTTTTCTAACTATATTGCGTGAAGTTACTATATGTAGAGAACTATTTTAAATATTTTTCATGTATTTTTTATTATTAACAAAATATATTTTAAATATAATCTTTCACAAATTATCATAATCTAAACAGTACTCCCTCCGTCCCGCTATGATTGTACGTCCCATTTTACCAATTTGGTCCGTCCCACTAAGATTGTCTCATACCTTATTTGGTAAAATTTGTGTGGTTCTAAATCATTCCTACTTTATTCTTACTTTATCAATTCAATATCAACCACATAAACCCATTTTTATTAATAACCGTGTCACTTTCTCTTGTCCCAAACTTAGGGAGACAGAGATAGTATTTATCAATCCAGTCATTTCAATTAAAATTTCATAAAATTCACAAATTAGGTGCTACTCCGTATGAAGGAGGCTCTTTATTTGAGGCCATGATTGGTTTGAGTTTCCTACTCCCCGGCACTCAGTCAGTGTGTTGTCTTGTCCGGGTACGAAACGCACTAGTTCGGCCCCTCTGAAAAATAATTGTACACATATTTTGTCGGATTTTGTCAACTTGTTACACTATATTTAGACTTACTTTTTCATTCGGCCAAAAAAAATCTCTTTTTCATTAGTTAGCGCAGTCATCAGGAATATCTAGATGCCCCCTCATCTCTGTTTTTCTCCTAGGTTGTCCAAAATTTTCTTCAACTTTACCTTTTTTGGTGAAAGATTCAATTTGCATATTTTTGTTATTATAAACCTTAAATAAAAAATTAAAGATAAAAAATCATTGGGAAGTTGGGAACATTAGAACATACTCCCTCCGTAACTTTAGAATCTTCCCATTTCAAAAGTAGGTAGATTAAGAATAGTGAAAGATGATATGAATTATTGAGGGTATGATGGGAAAATAGTGGAATAATGTGGTGGAATGTAGGATAAATCCAAAAAAAGTAGTTGTAATAGTGTATTATTTTAAGAATTATTGAGGGTATGATGGGAAGATTTAGAAATGGGAAGATTTTTGTGTTACGGACGAAAAAGGAAAGTGGGAAGATTTTTAAGTTACGGAGGGAGTATATTCCATTATTCCTCCTCCTCTTCCCCTCACCCCTGCTTCTCCATTTATATAAATATTTAATTATGATATCAAAAACAAATTTTTATTCAAGTTTTTGCCCATTAAGTTGTACATAATGATCCTTATCTTTATCATTTTTTTGATCATTCCTTATCTTTATCATTGAAAATAACTTTTAAAAAGAAGTTATTACTTTACATCGTTAGCTATTAGAAATTTATTTAGAGAAGGAACATTATCTTACTAAATATTGACAAGCCTTAATTATTAAAGATAATTTAGGGATTATTTACTTATACTCCGTAATAGTTATTATGAAGTTATTATGGTGTTGTTCCGGAAACACGCCCTACGACCTCTTCCTGGATCATGAGCTTGTAGGACTCTTGAACATTCACCCACTCATTATAATACAAAAACTCAATCTAAGAATATTACTTTGTATTATACAATTGAAATTTACAAGAAATATTTTATAAGTAAACATGTAGCTCACTTTACTCTTTGTATTTGAAACTACTTCACTCCACCTCACTAATGAGAAGCCTTCTTGGATTATCGTCTCCTCTCACCATCAAGGATCGATGCTATTCACCCACATTCATCACAAGACATTTCTCGAATCTCTCTTCTCTCATAAGAAAGCTCTCACTTTCTATCTCTCAAGGAGACTCCCACTCACTCTCACTCAAGAGCTCTCCTCAAGGCGCCCTCTCTCATCACTCAAGGAGACTCTCACATAGGTATAAGAAGTGTCACCCCTATTTATTAATGCGAAGTATTAATCTTCTCAAGATTTTCTAGAACTCTTTATACACCATTACACTTCTACACCATTACACTTCTAGAGTCTTCCAAAAAGAATTTACATGCTTCTCTAATATTCTAGAAGAATCAAGAGAACTCCATATTTCTTTCGAGTGTTCTAGAGACTTCCAAACATTTCTGGGGAAAGGGTCAAATAGGCGCTCGAACTTACATAAAAAGGTCAAATAAGCCCTTATATCGGAGGCTATGTCCGGCCGTCGCCATTTAAGGCGGTTCCCGGCGGAATATTTTGATGAAATTTTTGAGCAACTTATTCATCAAGTCTAGTTTACTCATACCAAATTTCAGATGAAACTTCAATCGGGAAGGCATTCAAATGAATTCTTGAAGATAATTGTGCAGTTAAAAGCGCAGTTATCTTCAAAAATTCATTTGAATGCCTTCCCGATTGAATTGTTAGCTGAAATTTGGTATGAGTAAACTACACTTAATGAATAAGATGCTAAAAAAGTTTCATCAAAAAATTCCACCGGGAACCGCCTTAAATGGCAACGGCCTGTCATAGCCTCCTATATAAGAGCTTATTTGACCTTTTTATGTAAGTTCGAGGGCCTATCTGACCCTTTTCCCAACATTTCCACACGGTTCTAGACGATTCCACACTTTTTGTAGAAAACTTTAAAATGTTCTAGAATAGTCTACCCTCTTCCACATGTTTCTAGATAATTTCACGTCTTTCTAGAATGCTCTAGAACATTCAACACTTCTCTACACACGTCTAGAGAATTCAAGAGATTTGTTCAACATATTATTATCCGCATGAACTTCTCAATTAAGAAGAGAACCCAACGATGTTATATAATTAGTGATTTAGTTATCATAACTTATATATTGATAATAATAATTGAAAGCTTCAAATGGTAGTTGTGCATGAGTCGTGTTCATTGAGTTCATATTCATATTTTAAATTCTAAAATCAAATACGAAGTACGGAGTATAATTTTATTAGCTAAACGACGCAGCGGTTTTAATAGGTAAAGGACGCAAGCTTTGTTTTTAAGGTTGTGATTGATTTTAAAGTAATACGGAGTAATTGACTTAATAGTCATGTGACTCATGTCCGTTATTCATGGAATGTGTTTATTCCAAATCCCAAGTTCGTGAGAAACAATATTTTTTTTTTGGAAAGGAAAAAGATTAACTTTCATTAATAAGACCGGAGTTCAAAATAGAGGAAAGAAAAGTCGGGGCAACAAAAACCAAGATTGCGAATCAGACATAGAACAAGCAACTTGAGCAATAGAATGAGCTACTTTGTTCGCTGACCGCCTAATGTGAGAGAAAGAAACGCTAGAGAAATTGCTTACCATATCTGGTATATCATCTGCAATTAACCCATATGAAGCACAACTAGAGCCCTTCTAGATTTCCGAGATTGCTCGGGAAGCATCCCACTCAATGTTAATATCCGTCCATTCTGTTCCGTGAACCCAACTCAAAGCCTCTCGAATACCAATCAATTCTGCTTCCAATGGAGCAAGACTACCTGCCCATGGACGCGCCGCACTAGCCAGGAACTCGCCATTTGCATTGCGAATACACCATCCCAGTCCACAGTGATCTGCTCGGACCGCTGCATCAATATTCATCTTCACTCTACCTGCAACTGGACAACACCACGAGGATCGGGCTCGCCTAACAGCCCCCTTGCCTTCCTTACCCACCAGCTACGTCTGAACCCATCCTTTCACATAGATTTCAGCCTTCATCATAAACTGACCTGCAGATAAGGATTTATTTTGCTAGACCCATTGATTGCGCTCACACCACAATGCCCAGCAACCCCATACGAGTCTCTTCAGGTCACTTTTTCTACGCGTCTGGAACTCCACCTTCAAGAGCTCCAAAAAGTTCTTGGCCTTAGCTCCCCTCCAATTCCATTGAGCCGCATTCCACGCTTCTCGAGCCACCGAACACTCCTGAAAGAGATGGATTAAAGTCTCCTCTTTTCCGCATAGGCCGCATAAATCGGGACAATTAACTCGTCTAGCTTGGAGATTCTCCTTTGTAGGTAAGCATCCGGAACACACCTGCCAAAATAATACTTTGAGTTTAGGAGGAATATTCCAAGACCACACCTCTGTTCAGTCCATCCAAGCCGAAGAATTCAGGTCCCCGATTAATTTTCTCTAACAACTACGAACTGAGAATCTCCCACCCTCCTCCCATCTCCATTGGCGAGAATTAGCCACCTGCCTGTAACTGATCACGGGAATACTAGTAATAAGAGACACAAAGTGGTCATCCAGAACATCCACTAGCAAATCTACATCCAAGCTTTTCCCTGATTCATCTAGGAGATTTGCGACAATTGTTCGTTGTAAACCTTCTGGCGCAGTCAAAATTACTTTAGGATTAATTGGGTCCTGAAGCCAAGGGTCCTCCCAGACATTAATTGACTTCCCGTCGCCAACCAGCCACCTTAATCTGTCCCTAATAAGGGTTTGAGTCTGAAATAAACTCCGCCAAATGAATGAAGGATTACTACCGATACTAGCGGAAATAAACTCGCCTTTAGGGTAGTAACGAGCTTTATACACCTTTCCAACGAGAGAGTCAGGAAAATTGAAAAGCCTCCACGCCTGTTTAGCCAGCATGGCTAAATTAAATTCATGAAGACTTTGAAAGCCCAAACTGCCACAATTTTTTGGTTTAAAAAGAGAGTGTCAATCCTTCCACCGAATGCCTGAACCCGATTTCCCTTGCCACCAAAAGCAATGGGCAGTTAAATGATATGCTGCCTGAACCCGGTTTCCCTTACCCGATTTCCCAACCCGATTACTCATGACCGGGCTGACCCTCTGGGTCCGGGTTGACCCTTGACCCGATAACTTTTCCAGGTCACCCTTCATCCAGTTTTTACAAAATAGATCAAAACCCCAATCTATAGAAATGATATGTATATATTTCTAACAAAGTTTCCCTGGATAAAAATATGATCATGACTAGTTATGTTTTTGCACAAAAATATAATTAATTATTATTTCTGAGTAACTAGACAAGAGTCAATATATTGTATTGAGAGTGATAAGTCACCGGAAACTAGTCATTAAATATGTTACTTTTTGAACTTTTTAAAAATAAATCATATTTCTATCTTCTAAATTTTGAATTAATTTATAGTACGTAATATGTATCTCCATTCATTAAAGTCTCAATTTCCCGACATAAATCAATGGGCAGTTAAAAGACATTCATAGCGTAGGTGGGCATAGCCTGTATAACCGCCTTCAACAAAACCTCCCGACCCACTTTTGAGAGGAATTTATCATTCCAGCTATGAAAGCGATTGACTACTCTCTGTCTAAGATAGCTCTGAATTTCCTTTTTTCCCATACCAATCAAGGCCGACAACCCTAGATAACTTTCATTATTTCCCGCCACTCCAACTCCCAGAAGTTCGGTCAGCCCATTTCGACAGTCAACCCCAGTATTAGTGCTAAAGAAATGTAACACCGTCCCCAAATATATTTACTTTTATGTAAATAATGTATTGAACCTTATTAAAGGATTAATGAATTTACGAAGTTGTAAATTTTTATTATTTCTTTCGCGTGAATAGTAAATTGCACGTGGGACCCACACCGGGAGCGGGGGCCGCCCGATATCCCCGAGATCACATAAATTATCATTATGGGTCGAAATAATAATTATATGGTGGTGGACATATTATTTGGGCCATGGGAAGGCCTGGGGTTGACCGATTGGTCAAAAGAAGCCCAATTACCGGTACCGACAATTAAACAGATAACAGCCCGAAAATGAATTTCGGAGACTTCCAAATTAAAGTTTTGGAATATATACTATTTCAAAGGGGAGTTATGATGGGGAACACATAATATATTTTATTTTACCCGATAAAATAAATTATGATTAAAACAGTCCGAAAAATACAACTTTCGGGACCGATTGTACACACCGGGACACAAAGGGATGACCTCCCACATGAGTGGGGGCCACCCCACGTTTTTTTGTGCTGTAACAACAAGGAAAGGGCCTAGGTTGACAAAGGATTGAGTGGAGGAAGGTGCAAGGGGGCCCTTTGACCTCACTCATTTGCCAAAGGAGACAAAAAGGACACCCCAACCCCTCCCCTATGCATTATTTCGGCCTAGCTACCAAAGGAGGAGGAAGAAAAAGCTCTCCAACCTTTCTCCATTGCTGCAACTCGAGCTCAAGCAAGAGAGGTCCAAGGAGTGGGATTAAAGAAGGAAAAAGGCTAGGAAAAGTGTGTAAATTAAGGTAATGACCTCATTATAACTTTTCCTTTATTTTTCTCCTACCATATGAGATATATATCATGTGAAGAATCCTTAAGAGGGTTCTACATGTTATGAGTATGGATTTATGGGTTGGGAGGTGATTCTATGTCCAAGAACGGTCTTAGAGGCCAAAACGACCGGTTCACCGGAAAATAACCTTTTAGAGGTTATTTGTATTAATATGGGTTTTATGATTATAAAACCTTGTTAGGCACTTGTAAAGGGTGTTTCAAGTGATTTCACAAAGTTGGAAAAGTCGCCGGAGTTGTCGCCGGAGTTGACCAAAAGTCGCCGGAGTTTCACCGGAGTTCAACCAAGAAGGGTAGAACTTCATACGCTAGTTCAAGGTGAGTGGACGGCTTAATATCTTATAACTTTTGGGTTAATTATGAGATTACCTAAATAAATGTGTTGAGTCTAATCCAACACGATATAGTAAATATATGTATGAACACTCAGTTTTTACGTGGAAACCCGAAAGGGAGAAAACCACGGGACTTTTTAGGCTAATGTCCAAGCCCTCTCTTTCTCATTAGGACTCTCCTCACCATTACATAGTACATTTTGAGCTCCTATTAATGGAGTATTGTAAGCTATTCTAGTGAGAAGGAAGAAGAAGGAAAAAGATCCATAATATGGAGGGAAACTCCCATATTTATAGAGAATTGGGGAAGGGGATGCTCTCCACCCTAATGGGCCGCATGGGCCGGAGTGGGCCCAAATGGCTAAAGTGGGCCGGATGGGCCGAAATGGGCCTAGCTGCTCGGGCTCCGTACTACGTAAAGCCTTGGACTCATGAACAGTAATAGGCCGGGATAATATATCCCAACACAAGTCCCCCAGTTTCTTGAGTAGTGAGCTCGCGAATCTGCTCGAGAAAATATACTCTGCCTGCACTCTTCCTCTGTCTTGCTGGAAACTGTGTCTTCACATAATCATCATATATGAGTGAGTGTCTGCACTCCTGAACGTAATCTACCAGTGAGGCACCCCCCTTCCCGACAGGGTCGGGCGAAGGGTGCTCCTCCACGGGCACACTCTCCCTGAATGCATCAGGCGGGAGTAAAGAACTTTGACGCGAGCTTTCCAATCGGAGAAGCTTAGAGGTCCATCATCTATAAACCGACGTCGCGGTACTGTCAAAACATGATGCACGTGTGTATGTATGAATGTATGAGGTATGATGCATGAATGTATGTATGCATGTAATGTATGTATGTAATGTATGAGAGAGGGAATGCAAGATGTGATAGAAGCAGTAGCTCTCATCGATAACCCGGGCATGTCAGCGCCGAGAAGCAGACGCGCTGCGTAAGACGGGTCCCCCATCCGAGATGGCATGGGCGGAGCCGAAGGTGGACTAGACATGATGCCGCCGAGGGGCCAATCATGCTGCATACGACGGGTCCCCCATCCGAGATGGCATGGGCGGAGCCGGAGGTGAACTAGGCATGATGCCGCCGAGGGGCCAATCGAGCTGTATAAGAGATGTTCGTCGCCATCCTGGAAGGGATGGGCGAGCCGAACACGATCCAGACACGACGGCGCTGGGGCGCTGATCGTGCTGCATATGAGACGTTCGTCGCCATCCTGGAGGGGATGCGTGATCCGAACGTGAAAGAGACACGATGGCGCTGAGGGGCCGATCGTGCTGCATAAGACGGTCGTCGCCATCCTGAAGGGAATGTGCGAGCCGAACCGTGAAGCCAGGTACGATGGCGCTGAGGGGCCGATCGCACTGCATAAGACGTTCGTCGCCATCCTGGAAGAGATGCGCGATCCGAACGTGAAAGAGACACGATGGCGCTGAGGGGCCGATCGTGCTGCATAAGACGGTCGTCGCCATCCCGGAGGGAATGTGCGAGCCGAACCGTGAAAGAGACACGATGGCGCTGAGGGGCCGATCGTGCTGCATAAGACGGTCGTCGCCATCCTGAAGGGAATGTGCGAGCCGAACCGTGAAGCCAGGTAAGATGGCGCTGAGGGGCCGATCGCACTGCATAAGACGTTCGTCGCCATCCTGGAAGAGATACGCGATCCGAACGTGAAAGAGACACGATGGCGCTGAGGGGCCGATCGTGCTGCATATGAGACGTTCGTCGCCATCCCGGAGGGGATGCGTGATCCGAACGTGAAAGAGACACGATGGCGCTGAGGGGCCGATCGTGCTGCATAAGACGGTCGTCGCCATCCCGGAGGGAATGTGCGAGCCGAACCGTGAAGCCAGGTACGATGGCGCTGAGGGGCCGATCGCACTGCATAAGACGTTCGTCGCCATCCTGGAGGGAATGTGCGAGCTGAACGTGAGCTGGGTACGATGGCGCTGAGGGGCCGATCGTACTGCATAAGACGGTCGTCGCCATCCTGGAGGGAAATGGGCGATCCGAACCGTGAATCTGGACACGATGGCGCTGAGGGGCCGATCGTGATGCATAAGACGTTCGTCGCCACCCTGGAAGGGATGGACGATCCGAACGTGAGCTGGGTACGATGGCGCTGAGGGGCCGATCGTACTGCACAAGACGGTCGTCGCCATCCTGGAGGGAAATGGGCGATCCGAACCGTGAATCAGGACACGATGGCGCTGAGGGGCCGATCGTGATGCATAAGACGTTCGTCGCCACCCTGGAAGGGATGGACGAGCTGAACGTGAGCTGGGTACGATGGCGCTGAGGGGCCGATCGTACTGCATAAGACGGTCGTCGCCATCCTGGAGGGAATGGGCGATCCGAACCGCGAATCTGGACACGATGGCGCTGAGGGGCCGATCGTGATGCATAAGACGTTCGTCGCCATCCTGGAGGGAAATGGGCGATCCGAACGTGAGCTGGGTACGATGGCGCTGAGGGGCCGATCGTACTGCATAAGACGGTCGTCGCCATCCTGGAGG